TCGCCCATCTTATTCAAAAAATATAATTAAGAAATTTTTTTGAAAAAAATTTATTTCTGAAAGATTTTTTAATTTTTTTTTTGTTTTCTAATGATTTTCGTCGAATTTGCGTCGAATTTATGCGACGCTCCAAAAGTAGGTGAATCAATTAAAAACGTGCAACCTACCTACCACATTCGACACAATATTCGACGCTATATCCGACGCTATGTTACTGATGCTAAATCGACGCTAATTTAGCATCGATTTAGCACCAAATGTAGATTATGGATGCTAAATCGACGCTAAATTGCATCGATTTAGCGTCAAATATTTTTGTCCCAATATTGCGTCGAATGTTTAGATCGACACAAAACCGATACAAAATCGACGCTATTTTTGCGTCGATACAAAACCGATGCTAACGTTTGATGCTAAAACTGTGTTTTCTTGTAGTGGAATAAGGAAACCGTATTCTTTAGTCAAGAAAGGAAGCACCATCATCAATATTTGGCAGAGAAAAAGAGGACAACAAGTTGATTAGTCAGTGTTTTGCCTTTCAATTTTTTATTGCAGTTAAAAAAATGAACTTTATTAATCATTAAGTATTTAACCTTAGCAGAACCTCAGAATTATTCTTGACGGGTGCATAAGCAAAGCCACGTCTCCATAAACTACATGAGGAAACATTTTCACAAGAAGTATGCATATTTAAAGTACTGTTTTACTCTACAGATAACAATTACCATGAATCCAACGCTTGCTGTTGGAGGTAATGTCTTTGGATAATCTTGCATCAGACACTAGACGAGTTGAAGATTTAAATGCTATTTTGGTACTATCCTTGTATCTATTATATAATCCAATAAAGTATATGTTAAAGTAGAGAATCAGAGTTTATGTCTAGAACTAATAATCATCATTAATTTCAAATGAAATGATAACTTCAAGCAGAGGAACAATAAGAATAGAAGAATTTAGGGGAGATAAAAGAAGAATTACTTTGGATTAACAAACTCCTTAATGGCCCCTCCAATTTTTTGCAACTCCTCTTTGTATGGACCAAACTCCATAATCAACTGCGTTGTAAGACATTGACAAAATATCAAGAATCTTGAATTTTCTGATCAGAGATAAATCCGGACTCCTCGAGTAGAAGACGACTCACTTGATTAATAGCTCGACAATCTTGCGTTTATGATCTCTTTTATCAGAATGGTGTAGGTAAACACATTAGGGGAAATCCCTTGACACAACATTCTCTTGTACACGTTAGATGATGTTGCTAAATCTCCAAATTTTACATAAACATCAATCGCTGAACTAAAAACAACTATGTCCAATTTTACTCCTTTCTGTAACGTTATTGCCTGCGAGAAAAGTTTATGACCATTCCTAACATCCCCGCTTTGAAATATCCATCAATTAGAGTGATATAAGCGATCAAGTCCGACGCTATTCCCTTCTGCTCCATAAGTTTGAAAAGCTTAAACGCTCTATCCATTTCGACTATCTTGCAGAACCCATTAATCAATGTACCAAAAGTCCCCACATTAGGTGTCGGACCACAATCCAACACCGAACTCAACATACGATCCGTTCAACTAAAAGACCTTTCAAAAAATCTTAGTGTAAGAAACTATGTCAACATGAAATCCTCTCTCAATCACAAGTCGGTAAAAATCCAAAACCTTTGTGACCTCTCCTTTGTTGAAAAGAGTATCCAACACAAATCCATGAGCACTCAAACCAGAAGGGACCATATTTCTACATAATTTATCCCAATTATCAGCAATTAAGTCAATACGAACAACATCAATCAAAGAATTTAGCATCCTATATACAGAGTCATTTGCTATAACTACACCCGACTGAATACTATACACAAATATCTTCATAGCTTCATCAACCATACCATATCTACAACAACATTCCATCGAAAACCCATAAACAACACCGTGATTCGAAGGAAAGTCCATTAATTTACCCCACATCGCACCAAGGAAATGGAAATCCTTTCCGCAATTAGCAATCATTTCATCAAACACCTTATCTGCAACACCGAACATCCCGTGTCGGATCAAAACGTGAGCAAGTGTAAAGAAACAAGTATCTCCTCCAAACATCTCTGCCTATTACTTGATAGCAGAATCGGGATCGGATTGAAGCGAAAGAAGAACCAAATTCGTCTCTTTTCGTTGCGGATTTGCACCGTAGTCAGTATCTAGTAATAGGTTAAAGTTCCCTTCTTTGATTGCTTTAGAGAAGATACAGGAGGCTAGGGCTTTAGTTGAATCAGACGAAAATCCACGAGATTTCAAACTGTTCTTCAACCTTACGAACAATGAAAAATTTGGCGGGAAACTCTTGCGTAATTGTAAAGATGATGAAGAATACAGAAATATTGTTCCGTTGTTTCTTCCAATTTTATGTTTTAAAAACAATTTCTTTATTCCAAAAAAAAAAAGCGCAACGAGATAAGTAGTTTAACTCGAAAATCTAATCCGAGTCGCGAAGTTTGAAACAAGAAATCTTGTTCGCTTTTACTCTCTTGTTTCTCAAGAATGACGATTCGTCTCTCCAGCGATGGAAACTCCTCGGGGAATTCTGTAAACTCCAGCTCCGGCGGCGCAAAGAGGCCGATGATTTCTCTGGCAACTATAGCAAAATCGACGATAAATGATCCTTCCGATAAAGGAAATACCTTTTCCTCCTATCAAGAAGATGACTCTCACCCATCAAAGATATGGCATTTCTCGAGGGAGAAACCACTACGTCGTTTTAATTGCGGCGTTCAAAAACCAATTTCTTCCGACGACGGAAACTCTGCGGTGAATTCTTTTAACTCCGGCTCCGGCGGCGCAAAGCAGCCAAAGATTTCTTCGCCAACTACAGGAGAATCAACGGTGAAGGATCCTTCCGATAAAGGAATTACCTCTTCCTCCTATCACCTATTCAAAAAAAAGAAAGCGCCTTTTACGGCGGAGAAACCACTACATCGTTTCTATTCCGTCGATCAGAATTCAACTTCTTATGGCGACGAAAACTGAGGCTAATTCTGTAAACTCCGGCTCTGGTGGCGCCGAAGATTTCTTGGGTGGTAGCTAAAGGGAAATCGAAGATGAAGACTCTTTCCGATGAACTGAAATTCGTGGGTCCATGAACCAAATTGGGGAATTCGAACTTCCTCGGAGGAAGCGATAGAGATGAGATGATGATACTAACCGATCAAAGATACGACCTTTCACGACGGAGAACCCAAGAGGTCGTTTTAATTGCGGCGTTCAGAAATCAAAAAAGCCAAAGATTTCTTTGGCAACTTCTTCCGGCCTTGAATCGAAGGCTTGTTCCGGCAAGTGCAGTAACATCGCCACAGAGACATCTGAATCAAAGTTCAAGCGCATGAAAGGGGAAGGACTCTCTTCTTCTAGATCCAACCACGGGTATTTTACACATACATCTTTCAATATCATTGACTTATAACATCTTTAATTACTCATGTGTTTCATTTGTTAAACAGTTTAGATAAGAAGATCTCACCAGACACCAGGCCATAAATGTTCTCCTCCTAGAAGCCAAGCCAAGCCATGCTACTTCGTTCTCGGTCTGAAAATTATCCATGGAGGTAGTAATTCTAAATTTGTGTCTTCAGAGTTAAATCATATGAACTCTACCATATGATTATCCATGGAGGTAGTATTTGCCTTGTAGTCAGACGAGATAATAGGGATACCAATCGGCCTAAGTGCTTTGGTTTTAATGAATTACGTACTCTCTAATGACTCTACCATGTGTCTTAGCATCCGAGTGCTTATTGTCAGGGTTGAGGTCAGTGCTCTAGCTCGAGGGAACGAGCGCGATCACACACCTACACACACAGCAAAAAAAGCAAAGAAATAAAAAGCAGAGCTAGTGGGTGCAACACTCATCGACTAATCAAGATGCACGTGGTCAAACCGACAAAGTTGCACCGACCAAGTCCAAAAGCCTAATCGAAAACTTCCACTTGAACAAAAAAGTCTGGCAATATTCTAGAACTGCCTATGCACATCATTCACACGTGTCGCGTTTCAATAGTATATGGGGTCCAGTCTCTTGTACTCATCTTCGTTTCGTCTATTTTAATTCCATCGATGCGCGAAA